TTACTTATCAACAGAAGATTGATACACTACCACACACATCTCCACACACTGCTGTTTTTTACTTATCAACAGAAGATTGATACACTACCACACACATCTCCACACACTGCTGTTTTTTACTTATCAACAGAAGATTGATACACTACCATACATATCTCCACACACCACTGTCCTTTACTTATCAACAGAATATTGATACACTACCATACATATCTCCACACACCACTGTCCTTTACTTATCAACAGAATATTGATATACTACCATACATATCTCCACACACCACTGTCTTTTACTTATCAACAGAATATTGTTATACTACCATACACATCTCTGCACACCATTGTTTTTACTTATCAACAAACGATTCATATGCCACCATACACAACACATTTGTCTGTCTCATATTTTAAGATTATTTTGTTGGTCATAAAGTTTCAGAAAGGTTTAGCCAAAAGTGTGTTACATATTTTTTTACTTGATGCACAAATTTGATATGATAGAAATCACAAACATCTTTCAAGAAATACAATTAACTATAAAAATTTTCTATTTTTCTTTCACTCACTGTTATGACAAGGGACAACTGTTCTGTTTTACATCAGATCATATCCAAATGTACTACTTAAATTTTTACTCATGTAGAGATTTTCAAAAATTTTTAAATATAACAAAGCTACACAATGAGCTATCTGCAACCTGCACACCACAAGGAATCAGCCCAATAGGTTTTAATTTTGTACATCCATAAACGTATCACTACCCCAAGGGGTGAGTTATACATCAAGACTCTCTTCATTTTGTTAGAACTATATATAGTTATAAATTCACTAAATGCCTCTTACTATAAATCTACCTGGACTTTGCTGTTTACATAACATTCAGACTTCAGTATTATACAACAATATTATAAAGTCAACCATATAAATATATTGTGAACCTGTAGAAACACAAATGTCAAGGTCAATGGTGAGTCAACATATATAACTTTTTAAAGTTGCATCAAATGCTAGACTTCCATGTGTATTACTCTTACAACGAAAGTAAAGAGCATGATCTATATACCACAGAAATCTGAAGAAAAATGTGATTAGAAAGTGTCATTATTATGATATTACCGAAATCATAGATGATAGGTCTCACTTTATAAATTTTAAATTACTGTGAGTCCGTAATATGATTATCATTAAAAATGTTTGATGAATTTGAGGGTTATTTGTAAAGTTTTATACAATTTTTATGTCTGGTACTTTTCTATTTTAACACTTCATCAGCTGACAACAAAAAACAGGAGCAAAAGTTAGTAATGTAATTTCTAATTCTGTACGCTTGTTTGTTGTTAAGCACAAACTAAGCTACACAATAGACTATCTGTGCTGTGCCCACCATGGGTAAGAAAACCCAGTTTTCAGACTTACCACTGAGGGCTTTTAATTCTGACTAGACGCTTTGTGAAGCTACCTTTTTGGTTAAAATTTTCATCCAGAGTTGAAGTTTTTAACTTTATTTTTACTTTTTAATTGTTGTATTGTAACTTGACTTTTGTCAAGAATGTTGAAATACCTCAAATGTATTTTTTAAAGTTTAAAGCAGTTCCTTGTAGCTAGTCATCTTGCAGTTCAAACAGTTTATGTAATTTAATTAAATAATCAGAGGAAAGTTTTGAATATTTATACAGGCTCAAACCTTGTAAAAATAAAGAGTTGGCCACAACATGTGAAAAAACTAACAAACTTAACAATACTGTGCACGAAAAACTTAAGTTAGTCACTAGATAAAGTAATATATCACTTGTTAGACAAGTTTTACATAGACATCATATAAACATCTACACACATGAAACATTTAATTTAAAAGAACAGTTTCTGCAACGAGAAACAGAAAGATATTTATCATACAAACAAGTAACAATGACATCCGATTGTTTTTTATTGTTTTAGATTTTCCAGCTGTATTCTACCAAATAACAAACAATTTTCCAAGTTATTAATATACAGATAAAGGAATACTATTGTTAACTTAATTTTCAAAGGTCTTTAGAAACAATAATATTTTGATATTGAAGTCATGAATTGATCACCTAAATGCATCCACATTGTTTGGTAAACACACCACATGTGGTCAAACCTTAAGATATCAAATATATCACACTTTGAATACATCACTATAATTATTTTAAAATTCAAAATCACAGCTTCAATTATGTAATTCAGCAAAATGTCTAACACTTTTGTTTTCACTGAAAATATTGATCTACATTTAACTGGTTTAAAAAGTTCTTTTTTGAAGTAGTGGTATGGTTTTAAACAAACAACATCTTGGGATTAATATCATCATTAAAAAAGTGTTTGATAGTAATTCCCATACAACTGTTTTTCTGTTTCAACATGCACTGTCTGTTTGAAGTTTGGACACCTTTATACCAAAACCAACTTTTTTTAACCAACTGTGCATATGTGAGACTTTCTATAATTTTACCACATTTGTAACTTCATATCAACATTCGAGACTCAATGTAGAATACCAGACAGCTAATGTTATGACACTTTGTAGAGTATAACTATATACCACAATAGTGACCAGAATACCATACTGCTGTTATTTTTATGTTCGGTAGTGTGTGTAACTACATATCACAGTGGTGACCAGGATAAGACAGTTGTGAGTTTTATACTTTGTACCACATTTGTCAGCATTTTGCTTACTGGTGGTGAGGGATTTTAACTGAAATATACATCAGTTTACACACATACGTTACATGTTTATGTATACGTTTTTATTTACAATATTTATGTAAGACATTTCAAAAACTTGTAAATTGGTCACCTTTGTGTTATGTAGTTACACCAGCTGCTATTTTTACACTTAGAAGAGTGTAACTACATAACACAAAGGTGACCAGAATACCAGACAGCTGCTATCTTTACAGTCACAAGAGTGTAACTACATAACACAGAGGTAACTAGAATACCAGACAGCTGCTATTTTTACACTTAGAAGATCTGGTATTCTAGTTACCTCTGTGTTATGTAGTTACACTCTTGTGACTGTAAAGATAGCAGCTGTCTGGTATTCTGGTCACCTTTGTGTTATGTAGTTACACTTTTGTGACTGTAAAGATAGCAGCTGTATGGTATTCTGGTCACCTTTGTGTTATGTAGTTACACTCTTCTAAGTGTAAAAATAGCAGCTGTCTGGTATCTTAGTTACCTCTGTGTTATGTAGTTACACTCTTGTGACTGTAAAGATAGCAGCTGTCTGGCATCCTGGTCACAACTGTGCTATGTAGTTACACTCTACAAAGTGTAAAAATAGTAGCTATCTGGTATCTTGGTCAATAGTGTGATATGTAGTTACACCCTACAAATTCTAAAAATAGCAGCTGTCTGGTATTCTGGTCACCTTTGTGTTATGTAGTTACACTTTTGTGACTGTAAAGATAGCAGCTTTCTGGTATCTTGGTCACCTCTGTGTTATGTAGTTACACTCTACAAAGTGTAAAAAATAGTAGCTGTCTGGTATCTTGGTCACTAGTGTGATATGTTGAAACATGTGCTAGAAAACCATCATCCTCCTATATTAAATCTATTATGGAAAGCATACAGAGCTGTGTGGATTACTTTGGACATGACAGCATTATGGTAGTCTTTTTCAATGGAAACTACACTTCAAGTTTATTATCAAGATGTAACATCTGTTATAATATGATGAGGTTCCAAAAACTGTTTAACATACTCTGTCTCTGTAGTTCAGCTTCACAAACTAAAGTGTTGAGTCAGTACAATACTGATTATAATTACTTACTAGATACACTGTAAAGATCTTACTTCCAAGTAAACATAACACTACTCATTACTACTAGACTAGTAAAAAACTATATATATATATGTTTATCAATGTTAAAATCATCACAAGTTTTGATGGTTCAAACTGAATAGAAGTATTTATATATTTATTAATTTTTGTTTCTTTTTCCTTATTTCACATAATTTACCAAATGTATGGACAGGAAACAAATTAACAAGGATGTCCTTCATTTTAAATTTAACCTGGGAAAAACAAAAAAAATAACAATTTTTGAACAATTTTCTTCTTTACCAAAGGTGAAACTGAAAGGAGGACCTGTGACGTAGAGGCCTAATGCATTCCTTAATTGGCCATACCCTCTGCTATAGACTGCAGTTTTGCCTATTCAAGGTTCATCAACATAGCTTTGGTCAGCAAATCAAAGATATACAGTTAAGCCTCTTATAATGGTGAAGTGTATATAATTTCTATGAAGTTTTGAGTCCTTTTTAATTCACCATACTAATAACCCATAGAAATATTTAATTGTTGCCTTAGTCACACTTCTCAAAGCTGTCATTTTTAACACTTTCACTGCTCAGTCAACAGTTACAAAACTTATCAAAAATGAAATATCCTCCCCCTTCAACAGAGTATATTTTGAAATTCTTATTAATAGTGTAATGTTATTAACTACAGTTATATGTTTTATGATTGAATGTTTTGAGTGAAAAGTTAAAACATTCATTCAAAAACTAGGTTACTTCTGAGACAACGACAGCTGTATAACTCTAGCTAGTTGCTCCTCTTCTTCCTTTCTTTTATTATCTTCCTCCAGTGCAGCCTGATGGGAAAGTTGTAGTGCCAGGGACAGTTGAGAGTCCCTGGCAGACTGCTGGACATGATGTCCAAAATTAGACACAAGACCAGAATTGTTGCAATTTTGATAATCAGCCATACTATAATGAAAAACCCTGAAAGGATAGATACATTATTAATTTACATGTTAAACAAAATTGTTTTTTAAATACCAATTTTTAAGAACAGAGAGTAGAAACTTTCATACAAAAGTGTTGGGCAATCTTCAGTTTTCTTAGAAATAGCATGTATTAACTTGCTGAGACTAAGTTAACGAATCAGCTGTACATAAAGCACTAGAAAATGTATGCTTGTACATATATACTCAGCACAAACAAAACCTTGACCATTAACACATCCAAGTCCTATTCTTAAAAAGTGTTACTACAATTAGATATTTGTTGATAATATTTTTAACAAACATTTTATGAATCATCTCGTACTTTGCTTCTCATATTTCATATCTCTACTTGGTTTATATTTTTATCAAAATAAACTGTTTTTGGACAGTCATGCAAAGTTACTCAATGGTTATCTGCACCAGGCACCTATAATTTTGAATTGATAGTGTAGAGGGAAGGCAGCCAGTCAAAAGTACTAACTGCCAACTTTAGGCTAGGCTAATCTTGTATTATTGAACAGTAGGAATTGTCCACCACCCTTATAATGCACACAAGGCCCCAAAATATGGAGCATACTTTTCATTTTTTAAGGTAAAGTGACAGAAATGATGGACCCGCAGATCCACAGTCCAACATCCTAACCACTGAAGAATGCTAAGCCCCAAGTAGTTCAGTACAAGTGCTACATAGCAAGATAAAACTGAAAAGATATACAAAATATCTGTTTAAGACTGATCATGGGATGCACTATTACACCTCCTAAGCCATAGGTGCATCAAGACCACCAACACTTACAACTAAAATCTTCATTAGGAACTTGAAGAGCAATGACCACGCATTTCATCATCAAGCCAATGCCCTTTTCAATTAGAACAGTCTTTTTAACTTTTTACAAGTATTAAAAGCCAATTGGGAGAATCTCAAGTTGTTAAGCCTAGCCTTTATCTCTTTACAAGTACTAAAAGTTCGACCTAGAAGAATCTCAAGTGGTTCAGCTTAGCTTTCTATCTCTTTACAAGTACTTAACATTAACTTTGAGAATTTTAAGCTGTTCAGCCTAACCTTTTATCTCTTTACATGCACTAAAAGTTAACTGGTGAGGATTTCAAATTGTTCAAGTTATTTATTTTTTCTCTAACATTAAATGATACAAACTTATTGGGATAATGAATAATTAAAAGCTTCACGTAAATATTATTATCAGTATAATAAAAAAAATTTGGGAATGAAAAATCAGTACTTTTATACTGTTTAACAGCCAAAAAATTAAAAATATTCCTAGTCCATATTTTGAGTATCATGAGTATTTCTTAGTATAAAAAAAGAAAATTGTGATATATTTATTCATTAATTATCAAATACACTACCTTTGTAAATCTCTGTCTTCGGAAATTGGTCTGTGGGCTCTTAATGCTTCCCAAATGGTCACCTATAAAATTAAAAACAAGCCAGAAAGGGTAAAGATCAAATTTACCAACATTCATTAATTAATAACTTTTTTCGTGTGATTGTGAATAATTACAACATAAGATATGGGTAGAGAACCATTACAAACTATACTTTAATATATACCGCCCTTACAATGGTATCTTGACAGGTGGTCTTTGTTTTGTGAGTTAATCGTGTTTATTTTCCAAACTTTCATGATTTGACTAATCAAAATCTTTGTACTTATACTCCCAAGAATAAAAGTTACCTAAACACTTTCAGAAGTACAGTATATACATGTATTCATAATCAAAATACACATTTATAATACACTAGAGCCAAGCAAGCTAGGCCATTTTTACAACTGATGAATTTCAATTTTGAAAAATAAAAATATATAAAAAATGTTCAATAAGTGGCAAGACTAGTTGGTTAAAGTGTGATTTGGGACCAAAATGTTAGGGGAGGGGGCTGACTTAATTATTGTGAATGTCATGTGTAAACTATATCCCACATAAAAAACAAATTTAGAGGAAAATGCCCCTCCTCCATAATTCCACATACGCTGGTTGGTCTAAGACACATTTTATGTTTCTTGAAATGCTTTGCACAAGTAAATGTCTTCTACGAAATTCAACCATTCTTAAAATCATTAAAGGTAAATCTTTTGAGAATTTTAAAGTTGGCTTACCTCATCCATGTGTATTTTATTTTTATTTTGTACATACTGACATAATTGATATCAAGCAATAAAACTTTGGATGAAGTACGTATGTTGTTTAACTCATGGTGTTAGCTAATGGTCAGAACGTCATTTTTGCCCATCAATCTTTTCTGGTTATTACTTATGAAAGCTATAAATATGTTCCAATTTTAAGTTAAACAAGAAAGGTGAACCAATACGTTTTGTCCTGAAGAGTCTTCTACAATTGTTTATAGGCAAATATCGAACTAGCAAACTCTTCATAAAATTTTCCCTTTGCTAGACAAATATATTAAATTACTTCTATTCAAATGCACATTTCTACGAACTTAATGAAATTACAGTGTCACTAAAATATTAATTGGACATAATTAATATATTAACGATATTATGAGTGCAGTAAAGTTTACAAAACTAGCTCAAAACACTCTCGAAATATCACTCAATTGAAAAGTCTTCAATATTTCCATCTTAGCAACCCCTCCTTGTTGTTATTACAATCTCATTAGTTTCTACATATTATAAATAAAGTAGAGAGTTTGAATGCAAAAAAACTGTAGCTATTAGTTACCATATGTTTTATTTGTGTTTATTTTCCAAACTTTCATAATATGACTAATGTACATATCTTCAAAATCTTTGTACTTATACTTACAAGCATTAAATGTTCTTGAAGTGAGGATACTTCTACAGTGAGGATAAAGTTAACTCTGTGTTCAAAGCAGAAGTTGGCGACATTCACATACAGGTTTCTAAATCCAGTGAAGCATTTGTTAACAAGATAAAAGTACAATGAAGCAGTGCAGGAGGAAAAGATAGACAGAGTGATGTCTAATGTGTGTGTTGACAAACTCCTACAATCATTCAATGTCTAAATCAAACATTCAGACATCATGTTTATATAAATTCAATGACAACATGTCAAAGCACAAGAAAAACTATATTAATTAAAACAGGATAACAAGTCACAATCATGCATTTTCAACTTTTGCCACTAAATCATCTTCCTTGTCAAGATTGGGAAGCATTAAAGTTACAGTATATCAGGTTAAGACTATACGAGATACACTGGGTTACTAGATACACTGAAAGAGTTCAAAAACAACAACAATAATTTCCTTACCACTTTGTAAAAATTAGGTTCCACTGAAAAAGAAAAGCATCAATAATAAAATAGTTAACTCATTCTGAACACTTACCTGTTCCTCTTCACTGCCTGCTTCTAACAGTGACTGTTGAACTGCAAGTTGAAGAAGGTCATCATCACTCTCAATACTAAGATGTCTGAATTCTTCACTTCCTACAGGAACCACAGGTAATAAATTATTATGCTATTCTTATCACGGTCCAATGACGTTTTGTACGCAACAATCTGCTATCCATTTTTGACTATCTTTACTAGTCCTAAGTGTTGGCTTCTTGTGAGGTTCTTCTATATCTACATATACTACACCATACCTCTCACATTCTAAAGTAGTTTTTTTTTTTTACAAATTTTGTCACATACTCTAGAACGCTTTGCAAAAAAATCCTCAATCTTTTCAAGAATATTAAATTAAGCACAAAAGTAATTCTCTCACTTTGATATCACAATCTATTAGCCACAACTTTTCACCTTAACAGTAAGTACATACCTAGTCTAATATAACCATGAGGAGGCTCAAAACAGTTTTCATCAATCAAACAAACGGATGCACTATCATCTCTCACGGATGTCACACCAGCCACTGAATCATCCATTGCATAGATGTTCTCAAAGGTGATGCGGGCATTCAGAACATGGAAAATTGGAATTTCTAGAACAGTAAAAAATATTATGTTCTTGCTATTTTAAATTTTTTTTTTAAAAAAGGGGAAACGTTTAACACTCTTTTGAAGTTTGCAATCACTTTTCTAAATAGAACATAAAACAAAACACTTAACATGAAATTTTGGTATTTTTAAACTAACTTCAGTGTTAAAATATTTGACTACTTTATTTGAAGAATATGAACCATATGACTAGATTGTACAGAGGTTTGAGTATATTATATTAAAAAAGATTTTGGAGGCTTGACAAATAGCTATAGTTCACGTCACCATGTCCAGTCGTACTCTATCTGATACCTGTAAATCTCTATAATAATAGCCCTGCAGCATAGTTTCTATTGCCAAAGGTTCTGCTATAAGGCTGTCATGACCAAACTATACCACCTTTCCTCCATGCTTTGCAAAATTGATCTAGCATATGAGGACAATGGTTTCCAAGAGTCCGTTTCAAAAGCCCAAATGTGCATATATTTGTAGGTGCTGCATCAAGTAACTTGACAGGTATGTCTTCATATGGAATAGTACGAATATCAATCTTATTCTCCAACTGCTTGAGATAACGGACTGTCAAACCACATATAATGCTAAAAGCCTTATCTTGGTAAACTCGTACACTGTTGACCTCAGTTCTGTACAAAGTCATTATTTTTGTGTGGCACAAAGGGTCAATATTGTTGGTCTTATAGTAAGCAGGTTTCACCTTGACCTTTGTATCCACTTTCCTGATCCCTAACTTGCTCCTGGCATAGTATCCACCAATGATCACAAATCATTCAACAAATGGTTTGTGTCATTCCTTGTACCACCTTTGGAAAGTTTCTCATTCACTGACCAGCATAAAATGTCACTTGTTATAGTTATCAAGGTTCACATACACTTAGTCAAGTATCATCAGGTACTGCCATTTTTTCACAGCTAGGTACTGTTTATACAGTGTTCTACAACTGGTCTTACTTTCCTGAATATGTAATGGAAGCAACTTATGTACATGTGACTCGTATCATTTTTCCACGGAAAGATCCTTATTAATTATGTTGTGTACTGTTGCTTTGGACATGAGGATAACTTTTGCCACTGACTTTTTTGTTCATGAAATTTTCACTTGTTACAAGTTGTAGCACTGTGCTTACCATGGCTCAGACACAACTTTTTGCATGTCTCTTTCAGGATAATTACGGTACCCCAAGATGATCCATATTCCTTTGTTTTTCTGATGCCATTAAATATAAAGGATATCCCTTTCTTGGAAATTATAAATTCCTTATTTGTAAACCTTTATGATCGAACTGTATGAATATTTTGTGCCAAAAGCACTCAGTTTTCAGTGGCATTGTACTATCTACAAAATGACTAACAATGTCAAAATGTAGTTCTGATAAATACCATTCCACTATGACTATGTAGTTGTTACATGACCTGCTAATTTACTTATTCCAAAATTCTTTTAATATAACATACAACCCTGTGTGATCTATCAAACTGACATCTAGAATTTATTAAATAATACAAAGCAAAAAAAAAAAAGACTTCTTGAAAACCATATTATATTTACTACATGTATAAACTTTATTATTCAGATGCAAATTTCCATATAAAGACAGAAAAATATCTAAAAAAGGAATTATTTTTTTTATTTGTTTTGTTTACTGTAGTTTCAGAGAAATTCATTAATTTTGTATTTTCAATTAGTAATGGTAAGTAACTAAGGGGACAAAAAAATTAATTTCTTGCATGTTGTAAACTTGAAATATAATTTTATTATAAAGACATGGTGCAACAAGCATAATTTTCTAATACCTGTGTTTAAATCTAATGCAGTATGTATGATAAAACACATTCAGGATACCTATTTAGAGCTTGACTAATATCACAATTAATAATTTCCAATTACTGCAACGTAAAAATAAAAACAGCAAATGACAAAAATACAATTTGTTTTATGGCAAAGCTACTAAGGCTATTAGTTCTAGCTTTGCACCTATTTCCATGTGTTAGATTCAGTTCAGTTCTATTTATTAAACTCCTACATGCCTACACCATTGGACGGAGAATTTCCTGCTTCTAACTATACACACACACACACACATACATACATACATACACACACTCTTTATTAAGCCTATTACTATGGGTAGGTCAATGTGCACATGTCATGATGATCTTTTACAGAGTTACAAATTACATTCAAAATTTAATTAAACTACTTTATTATCAATGCATGTCAATAAACTTGGCATTAAAATATATATAATATTAAAATTTGAGCTATAAACTAAGTTTTAATTTCTTAACTTTTAAAGTATGTAAATAAATTACCAAGCTTCACTTGCTGTGTCACATGACACTTCTTCAGTCCAAACAGCCCATTTATACATTTTATGCTACTTGTATTTGGTCTTGTAACTTTCCGTTAAATTTCTCACTTATACTATACATAACCGTGAGCTAAGTTGTCAAGCTTTTTGCTTTATGGAGATATAAGCAATAAAGTAAAGGCCACATACTATGTTTCCCATAAAGCATGATGCTGTCAAAGTTGTTCTTGTTGTTGTTGTTATTAAGCACAAAGCTACACAAAGGCACACCATGGGTATCAAAACCCCGTTTCTAGCATTGTAAGTCCGCAGACATACCGCTGTGCCACAATGTGCACACATTTTGAAATAAAAATTAAAAAAAGAGTAATTTTGATTTATTTTGCATTTTTTGTGGTGGTTACAAGGTTGGTCAAATCGATTGAGTTTATAGAAATTTAAGGTAGAGAAAATACCAAATAAAATATAAAGTTATACTGAAAAAAAAGGTTTGATATTCACTTAGGAGGTTTTTTTTAGAGGTTATACAAACGAAATTTGAAAATTGTAAGACGAAAAAGAATTTTTAATCTTACATGAAAATCACTTTCCACTTGGACTACTCAACACTCTGACTCCATATATATTCATTGTCAAAATTTTTTTTGAAAAATCTTATTTTTTTGTATACAAAAGACTTGTAATCTTTATTAAAACCTTACCAAATTTCGTGATGATACATAAAATACTTTCAGAGTTATGATATGTATACATTCATGGTGGTTACAAGATTGTGTAAAATACACGAGCCCACGTCACTAAGGTTAAACCCCTTCATGCTCATTCCTTTACAACACAGAATATTTCCTGCACCTACACACATGTATATAAAATTTAAGTATAACAAGATTACTACTGCTTTAGAAAGACTGTGCTACTGACATCAAACCATACCTATTTTTACTGGAAAACCATTAGGAAGTTGCAGAGTGATGAAGTCCCTAAGTTTAGCAAAATGTGAACTACTTATTGCCATTAGGTCCACAATGGGTAAAATCTGAAACAATTCACCACAAAACAGTAAATAATAGCACAAAAAAAACTATTTAATTAATCATAAAATGTCAAATTTATGACTCTAGACAGATCATGATATTTTTAAAACTCGTAACGATACAACATATAAAAACATGAACAGAAAATTACTTACAATTTTATTTAATTTTACAAAACTCCATAGTATTTCAGTAAAATGTACAGAATAACCTGAGTAAAAATAATGCACTGTGATGCAACTAAAGAACAATTTGTAAATCACAAAAGATCCAGAAAACACTCTTATTATACAATTCTTCTCTTTAAACCTTAAACAAAACATGAAGAAGCTAAACACTATAGAAACATTAACAAACTTTCTTCTATCCAAGTAAACTGTGGCAATCCAACGATAAACAAAGCACACAGTTATCTTGTCTTCGCAACATAAGGGTTTGAGGACAGGAATAGTGATTTGTAGTGGTCGAACAAAAAGAGACAAAAATAAACGCTTTATTTACTGAAGATTAAAGACTGATTGTTTAGTAATATGACTATTACACTGTGATACGTTCAACTCAAATATAAAATAAACTGTATTTAAAGATGTGAAAAGTAATTATTAGAAGGTGAAAACACAGATGAAACTTCAACACCAAGTCTTGGCTCCTTCATGTCAGAAATAAATGTTTAAAATGCTAAAAACTGCAATCATAATTTAGCTACTCCTTGCAACTGACCAATTAGAAACCTGGATCACATGAATTTGGAAGTCTCACTACTCCGTGTGATGGTAAAAAAAACAGTTCTCTGTGTACAAGGTACAGTGGAATATAATACAACTATCCCATTAAACAATAGCTTCTTTTATTAGAACTTGCAAAGTAACACCCAGGATTAAATTTAACTTATGACCCCAACTAGATTTAGTATGTTCCAGATTAAAATTTAGAAAAAATATGAAAATGTTATGGATACAAAATACATGCTACGGGAGAGCAATATATGAAATAATTGCATACTACCAAATGGACTACAAGATACCTGTTCTTTAAGAGACAGGGGAAAATTCTGACATAACCAGAGATTAGCCTTGAACTTTTGAACTTTAGTGGAAATCTCCCGTGGCCGTCCAATATCTCGTCTTCCAAGGTCGACACTGGAGTCAAAATACTCTTCTGGTGTGATATGACAAGGATTGCTCCTGTACTCAAATGCTTCCTGAAGAAGAAGAAGAAAAAAAACGTTTGTACTTTGATTTACCAGTGTGTACCAAGGTACATAACTTGTAAAAATTGGCTTAATAAACTACATCCTGAAACCACAAAAGTTAAAGATAGCTTAGAAATATATGCATGTATATAAACTATTACTGAAATCAAAAGTCAATACATTTGAAAACAAACATTCAACATAGGTAACCCAATTTATACAAACCCATTAAAAAAGTTAAAAGATGCAGAGTTTATATTTGCTAATTAATCGTAACATAAATTGGTGGGTACCATAATGGCCTTCATCAGCTTCTTAAACACATTTTTTCACTATTTCTGTACCAAACTGCTTGAAGGTTGGTTAGTGGATCCTTAATAATGTTTGAGCCACACAAAATACCATAAATATTGCAAATACACCCATTTATTGACACAGAATTGCCACCCACTTATTGACACAGAATCGCCAACGTGTTTTACACAGAAAATGAGCCATTATACCCAATTTCTTTCCACTGAGCAACAGATAAAAATATAAAGTTACTCAGTAAGATGAAGTATGTATAGCCCACCAGTAGGAAAAGATAGAAACAATTAAATTGCTCAAGTTTTTTTAAAGCCATTTCATAATTTTCAGTTCCACTTCATACAGCATGGGTAAGTAACACTAGAGATTAAAATGCATGACGGAAGCAAAACAGTGGTTACAGCTAATACTTAAAAAACAATTGGTAAGGTTCCATGTCTTTAAAACAGTCAATCTATATAGCTCTTATACTAGGCAAGTTAAGCAAGAGGCAAAAGTAAACAAAATTGAAGGCTTGAGACATTTTCGCTCCTCCAGGTGTGAGTACTGATCTAACGACTTGTTCCCTATGCAAACAGTCAGTGGCACATCACAATGCAATAACTATCCTTCTCAAGAATTTAAAAAGAAAGCACTCTCTGATATTTCTGGATAAAGAGGACATTGAAATGTATTACTTATTAAAACAAAATAGTCTGATATGCAGTTAAGCCTAATGGTCCTTTCTTAAGGAAGTTAAAGTTCTACTAGAGCCTTTTAAAGCTACAACAACCCACCTCAGTAAGGAAAAAGTTAGTATTATTGTAAACTGTACCATCACTCATTAATACACTGGTAATGGGAATGCAGCCAAGTAATGAAGACTCATCCGCTGCAACCAATTTCAAGAAAGTAACAGTTTGAAAAATAAATTTTTGCTGGAAATTTCAGAACAATCCCTCTCCTGAAATTAACGCTATCTTTGTTACTTCTGCTGCTCTTCACCTACGGTCTCAAGGTTAAAATTTTTGAAACTGGATGACATATTACAACTGCAAAACAGTGATCAAAATACTAGCAGTTGACAAAAGTTAACTACTTCAAGCAACAGTGCCACCTAACCAAAGAAAATAACAGAGCCATTTCAGCCAACTATCATGAGTACTGGCCAGGAGGATAAAAGGGTGAGCTCTCTACTTGTAAAGCAGACAATGATAGACAAAATGTTTTCTTTGGAAGAGAAAGTGGAGATACAGATGAGGATAAAGAATTATAAATGCAGAAGGAAGTGGTACAATATTTTTCAGGGATTCCCACTGGTGTCACAGTAGGGAAATCAAACAGCCTGTCCCAATCAAATTACACATTTGGTAAAATTCAGCCCCTAAAAAGTCATTAAGTAAAATTTGGACTTTAACTTAATGGTGTGGTTTGTAGTTTACATGGTCTAATAAATGCAAAACAATCCCTCGGTAGCAAGAAACTTCACATTGCATTGTTATCCACCATACTTTAAACTTCAAAATTTTACCAAATGGTGCAGGATTTGCTCTATCAAATGCAAAACCATTCAGTAACAAGACATTTTTTGCATTGGATTATTATTTTTCATTTAAACCCTGGCTGAAATTTTATCAAAGGGTTCTTTTATTATTTTCAGTTGAAGATTATAGCTTTACCTGGTAATGTGAGACCGCATGAAACCCACGTCAAGACAAAATAAAATTTAGTCCCAATAAAATCCATCAATTTCAAGCTCAACCGCATGGATTCATATTATATGGATAAATGAAATGAAAACAGTCAAGAAACAAATGTTAAAAATGAAGTGTGAACTCACCTATGCACCAATGAAAATAAAGAAGAGATATTGTATTCACATTGGTTGGAAACTTGAAATACCTGATTGACAGACACATACCAGAAGTAAACTCCACCCTTTCAATGTTTTGTCTATGAATTATGAATGAAACTATTAATAATAAGTGTGAATATGATGTGATAGAAGAAAACTTTATGAGCAACAGTATTAATGTTACATAGAAAGTGCTAGCATAAAAGTCCTACAAATACAACAGGTAAACACATGTTTATGAACCTAATGCATTATGTTATTTCTAACATAATGTGTTCTCTAATGTGATTTTGTCAGGTGAAATTTGTTAATGAAGCCTTGCTGGTACATCAAGCCATTACCTTTTGGCAGAGTAACAGATGGCCGGTGTAGTTGCTGGGTTCAACTTTACACAATTTACAAAGGAATTTATTCTAAATCCAAGTTATGCAGTCAAGAGTTAAGCACACAAGTCACCAACTCAAGAAGTTTGTGTGTAGAATATAGAACTCACTAAGAGACAGTTGTAATATAAACACAAAATAATTTGTATTACAAGCTACTGATCAATTCCTCTACATCAAAACTCCTAAAGTTATCTTGAAATAATCCACAATCTAAGCTATCAAACTCTTGGATAGTGATATGTTTGTTAATCAAACCTTCAACTATGTTCATTAACATGGATACAACATGCCTTCAACTATGTTCATTAACATGGATACAACATG